CCAGCACGTCCATGCGAGGGCAGCGACGCTCAGCACCGTCAACTCCTGGCCACGACATCGCAGTCCTCACGCCTACAACACCTGGCAAGCCCCGGTGGTGGTGGTGGTGCTGCTGGTGGTGATGGTAACCCATCCAACCATTAAACGACACTCAACCCTGTTGAACTTCCGAGATCCGACGAGATCTGTCGCATCGTGACAATTTTTTGGATCGTTGACTTTGTGCGACCTTGCACTTGCACGTCTGGATGTGTGTACTTGTGTAACACATCGTGCTCCCGCTCACGGCCAACACCAGCGACAATCACCTAAAACCCAGTCCTGGGCAAGGTCGACTCAGCGTCCAATGAGCGCCTCGCGCGGTGTGTTAAGGTCGCCACTCGAGAGACAAAGGCGGCCGAGCGTGATTTTGGCCACACACTCACCCTCTCGTGTGCCCTGCCGGCCTTCGTAGGTGCTCGCTAGCAGCACTTGTCCCAACAGCCCTGTTAACGGCTAGACGGGGGATCTCTGCGTGTGTGTGTGTGTGCGTGTGTGACCGTGCCACGCACGTCGCCCCGTGCGTCACATCACGCGTGAACGCGCCGAGCGTCGAGCCACGCGCAGGGCACACTTGGGGGACAGGAGGGGGTCGGAGAGCGGTGGGGTGGGGGGACTTCTCGACCCATATGGGACGCTGCTGCGCGGCCGCGCGTAAAACAAAGGTCTCACGCGGCCCTCCGAGTCCGCCGACAGATAGACGCGGGGCACGGCCACAATGGGGGGGGGGGGGGGGGGGAGGGAGGGAGCCCGCCCGGCTTGGCCTCATCAAAATGCACGCCTCGAACATCGCCCCGACAATTTCCATTGTCCGCCCCTTTCCTGTTAACAACCGCGGGGCCGGCGTTACGGCTCCCTCTCTCTCTCCCTCCCTCCCTCTCTCTCCCATAACTTACACGCGCACGGCCCGACTCCTAACACACTCCTGCCTCGGTATGTGTGCGTGCCTATATAGGGGTGTAATGTGAGTGCGCGTGCGTGTTTATGTGCGTGTGTGTAATGTGGGGAGCGGTGGTGTAGCGGTTAGCGCTACGCTGCGCTATGAACCCGGCGACCCGGGTTCGATTCCCGCTCACGGCCATCGCCAGTAACGATTATCTGAACCGGTCCTGGACCTCCCCTAGGTCGACGCAGCCTCAAATTAGTACCTGGTGCGATGTGTAAACATCGCCACTAGGGAGACAAAGGCGGCCGGGCGTGGTGTTGGCCACCCACCCCCTCGTGTGCCGTGCCGGTCTTTATAGGTGCTCGCTAACAGCACTTGCCCCAACAGTCTGTTAAGGCTATAGGGGAGATATTTGTCTTTGTTGTGTGCGCGCGCGCGAGCAATAGATGCTCCCTCCAAAAGTCTGCGAAGGCTCTACCTGGGGCATCTGTGTCCGACTTCATTTTTAAATAGGTTATTCGCACGCACTCACTTGCCCCGACAGTCCGTGCAGGGCTATACGGGGGATCTTTGTGCGTGCAATGTGCGTGTGTGCTTGTGTATAATCTACGTGCGTGTTAATATACAGCGCCGGCGGTAGCACAGCAATTCGACCGAGTAACGAATTGGCACGTTCTGTTTACGTGGTGGCGGGTTTAACGACGCATTTATACTTACGCGATCTAACTACCCCCCCCCCCCCCAAAAAAAAAAAACAACCCTATATTATGGTTAATACATTATGTTTGCACGTGGAATTTGCGCGCGTGTGTGTGTGTGTGCGCGCGCGTGGTTATATTTTCAGCTGCTTTGAGTAACAGTCGTAGGCGCCTTCAATGTGTCACACAGGCGACGGAAGTGCAACCGCAGCGCAGCTGACGCCAACACCGAGTGAAAGTTGACGAGGGAGTGCACACGAGTTGTTAGCATGCTCCGCTCGTGTGCCCATGATGATGTCAGCCGCTGCTGTGACGATGAAGAATCACGAGTGCACGTCATCGCGGTTGCGCTGCATGTGTTTCTGGGCTGTATCGTGCGTGCAGTTCGGCGTGATGTCCGACGTTTCGCGCCAACTGAAGAGGCTTCAGTTTATGTACGTACTCTGTTTTGGACTTCTTTCGCAAGCCTGCGCAGCCAACCGTGCTGATCGGCGGTGCGTGAAACGAGCGGATGAAGAAGCGCTGAGCGCGTGGAGTTAAATGTTGGACACAATGACCAATAATTACGGGGTATTACATCCAGAAAGGAATCCATCAGTGGTAAGTATTGCACAATCACAAATAAATAAAGGTGTGTGTTGTGGGAGCGGTAGTGTAGCAACCAGAGCGCTGCGCTACGAACTCAGCAACCCGAGTTCGATTTCCGCTCACGGCCAACACCGGTGACGGTTATGTGAACCGGTCCGGGGCCTCCCCTAGGTCGGCTCAGCCTCAAAACGAGTACCTGGTGCACATCACTCGGGAGACAAAGGCGGTCGGGCGTTGCGCTGACCAACCGGCCCCCCTCGTCTGCCGTGCCGACCTTCGCAAGTGTTCGCTGAGAGCACTTGCCCCAACAGTCTGTTGAGGCTATACGGGGGTTATATTTGTCTTCGTCTTGGGTCACAGTGACCAGTCAGCTAAAAATAAAATCAGCTGAGAGGTAATGAAGCGAAGAGGCCAGGAGCTCTCAGATAACTTTCATGTATGTTATGTATGTTATGCTGAACTTCTTTCGCGCCGTACGTAGCCAACCGTGCTCATCGGAGGTACGAAGGAGTATGCGATAGACAGCAATAATGGGCTGAATTTGTGCCGATATCTTTTGTTCAATATTCGTCCGATATTGTTGTTATTATTAATAATGATAAAATATTATCTAATGATGGGAGTGGCAGAGTAATGTAGGTATATATTTACGTAGTCACTCCAGAACTCTCTCACGATCACAGCTTTCATTGAAATGTCGATCCTCCTTCTCGAAGTACTGCGAGTACAGTATATGTGAACGCAACAGGCGAGTTACACGCACAAACACACACACACACATGTATATATGTTTGTGTATGTTCTGCTTAAACGAATCCGAACTGATTTACACACCGTGAAAAATACGTGTTTATCACGGTATACACGTCATAGGCTCACTCAAAACTACTTCCACAGTGCTCCTATTCGTCCTATAAGGACGCCGTGAACGTGAGCACGTGCACAAGGGATCGATATCTATGCATCGTGTACCGTGCGCTATTGCAGTGGCCTTACATCGATCACTCGATATTTTCCGCAAAAATCCTGCCGAGACCGGGTCGGGGAAGTGATTATCGGCGTAAGGCACTACCACTACGACTACAACCGCCAGAGTAGAATATTACACCTTTCATACATTACTCCTATTGTATTGCACCCTATTATAATAATCCTATAATTATGCGAGGGGGACAATTGGTACGGGTATCACATGAGGACAGCACGTGAGGCGACGATGGAGCGCGGATATGGCGTTGACAAAATTATTCAACCGGTAGAGAATTACCAACGGTGTAGGGGGTGGCTGGGTGGGTAGGGGGGGAAGCGTTCCGGCTAAAAGGTTCAATCGTCACTTCGCCGCATTTGGTGAGGGATCAGAAACCGCAACGCGTAAAACAAAGAGCCCCCGTCACGACCCAAAACAAGCGGGCACGTCGTAATCCCCGGGGCCTGTGTCGCGAAATTTCAGGCGCAGACGCCAACGCACGGTTGGCTACGTACGGCGCGAAAGAAGTTCATCGTACGTGCGTACGGTGCGCCGTCCTTGGTGTTTCAGCCCACGTCTTCGGAGTCCCGTTTACAGCTTCGGTGGCGAAGTCAAATCCATCAACCGCGTGAAGCGCCTGAACTTCACTGCGCGTGTGCGTAGCGTATGTGTGTGTGTATGTGTGTGCGCGCGTGTGTGGAGCGGTAGTGTAGCGGTTCGCACACTGCGCTACGAAACCCGGCTACCCGAGTTCGATTCCCGCTCACGGCCAAAACCGGTGACGATTCATCTGAACCGATCCTCGGCCTCCCCTAGGTCGACTCAGGCCTCGAACGAGTACCTGGTGCGGTGTGTAAACGTCGCCACTGGGGAGACAAAGGCGGCCGGGCGTGGTGCTGGCCACCCACCCCCTCGTGTGCCGTATCGGCCTTCATAGGTGCTCGCTAACAGCACTCGCTCCAACAGTCTGTCAAAGGCGACACGGGGGATCTGCGTCTTTGATGCTTACGCCAGATTAAAGCCGACGGCGTGTTAGGTTAACATCGTCGATGGGTTTCCTCTCGGAGTCTAATCTCCCATCGCGGCGGCGGTGGTGATGATGATGCTGTTGCCGAGTCAATAATAATAACAACAACAACAACAACAATAATAAACACGTGTGCTCCTCCACCGTGAGGTTCCGTCACTGACGAAGAACAACACGCGCACTGCCAAAGTTTCGCGAACAACTGTTCAATAAGATGTATATAAATAGGGAAGTCATAAATACTTTTTTTTCTTCAAATCATTATTATTTATCGATATAGATACCAGTTAAAATTTCAACAACAAACGGCACTGAATTATCACGTCATAAAATATGAGATTAACCATCATGCGAACTCCTGCGTGATTCTTACAGCAGCAGCGGCGGCGGCGGCGGCTTTTGGCTGCTCGGCCATCGAATAAAGACGGTGTCCACTGCATCGCGTGGCGCTTTCAGATACGCTGCTTCTGCGGCCGTCGGGAACGTTCTTCCCCTTCCGATATTGGGAAGCCACTGAAAGATACGCAACTTTCAAATAATCGAGATTAAAAACTAAATTTCTTTAGCACTGCTTTTTTGTGTTCAGTTCGTTTTCCTTACCCCCCCTCCCTCCCGCACCTCCGAGCACGGTTTGGCTACGTACGGTGCGAAAGAAGTTAAAACGTACGGCGATAAATGTTTATGACATCGTGACGAGAACCAGTGTGTGGGGGCAATTATCGGCGTGGCGCGAGAGAGGTGCCCTACGCGTGGATCTGAGACACCGCGGGTGAATTCATGAAGCGCATTCTCGTCCTCTCTCTCTTTCTGTTTATTGTAAAGTGTTTATTGTAAAGTGTTTATTGTAAAGTGTTTATTGTAAAGTGTTTATTGAACCCTTGCTTTGTTTTTTTTTTCCGTAAAAAATAAAGGGAGAAACAATATTCTTCAAGTCGTCGAACAAATGTTAGCTTGTCTCGCAAATGTCTTATTGTTGTTAACGTCGTTTGTTGGTTATTGGACTCGTTTCAAAACCGCGAATTCAAAACACGCAACTCGCCAACCTGCACACAACATAAACAAGCTCTTAAAGATATCATAACTTAAGTGTCTTTGTGTGTGTGTGTATGTATGAAAAAAGAACGCGAAACGTTACTATTTTTGCATCTTGTACAATGTCAATTACGAATTCAATCGGACGGTTACACAGACGACACACAGGAGAGAGAGCTAACACGTTTTGCACGACCTATAGGGACTGCGATATCTGATTTTTTTTACGAGTGCGTAATTTCCTATCTCACAGTTTTATAATTGCCGTTTTTTAAATATATATCCTGGTGTGATCGTTTGTTTGTTGGTTGGTTGGCATATCGAAAGAGTTCTTTACAAATCTGTAAACATCGTACACACTCACAAATCTACAGAGACAGAGACACGTGTCAATGTTGCAGTCTCTCGCAAAGGGGTTTTGCCGGCCCATTCCTTGCAAAGCAGTGTCCACGGTTTTTCTTTACAGTTACATTTTTTGCGTAATCGCTATCATTATTATAATTATAATAATCATCATTATATATAGATATATAGATACATTTCTCACTGTCCTCCTCCCAAACCTCATCATCCATCACCACCACCACCTCCTTCCTCTTCGTCGAATCACAGTTTTCCTCACCGCCATCAGGGGTGGCAGGCGGCGAAGTGTTCAGCAGCATCGGCATCATCATCAGCAGCAGCATCACCACCAACACCATCATCAGCACGCACGCTTCACCACGCCCACTGCTGGGTCTGTATGAGCGTAGGGAACGCGGCCGCGTAGGCTGGGTACGCGGCCGCCCCGTACTGCGCCGCGCCGAAGCGAGACAGATGGACCGCGGGCTGCGCGGCCGCGCACGCGTACGCGGCCAGACCCGCAGCTGTGCACGGCTTCCCATCGCGCACCAACACGGGCACAGCGACCCGGCGCGGAGACTGCAGAGCGCCGCCGCCAACGCCGCCGCCGCCGCCGCCGCTCGACGATCCGTCCGGGTGCAGCAAAAGGCCACCCACGCCGCCAGCCACGCCGCAACCTTTCTCGGCTCGAGCGCGCTTCATCTTGTAGCGGTGGTTCTGGAACCAGATCTTCACCTGCGTGGGAGTCAAGCGGATGAGACTGGCCAGGTGTTCCCGCTCGGGCGCCGACAGGTAGCGCTGCTGTCGGAAGCGTCGCTCCAGCTCGTAGGTCTGCGCCTTGCTGAACAGCACTCGTCTCTTGCGTTTCTTGCTGCTGCTGCTGCTGCCGCCGCCTCCCAAGTCGCCTATCACTCCGCCTCCTCCTCCTCCGCCGCCACTCATTCCGCCGGCGCTGCTGCTGCAGTTGGAGGCGTCCGTGCTCGCTCCGTCATGCGGGTCCGGGGATGAGTGCGTCTTTACGGACGGGTGCTGATGACTCCGTGCGCTCGCCGCGTTCAGCCCGTGTACTAAATAATGGGCGCGTGCGTGCGTAAACATACGCGCGCGCATAAACACACGTGTGTACACACACACGCGTGTGTGTACGCACGTGCGCGCACACGCACACACACGCAAGGGAGAGATGGACGACAGTCAGCATCGGGTTTTTTGTTGTTGCTGTATCTCAGTTGTGTATTTGGTGTGTCTTAGTTGTGTCTTTGCTGTGTTAAAGTTGTGTATTTGTTGTATCACGGGTGTGTCACAGTTATGTATTTGTTGCGTCTCGGTTGTGTATTTGGTGTGTCTTAGTTGTGTATTTGTGGTGTCACAGTTGTGTATTTGTGGTGTCACAGGTGTGTATTTGTGGTGTCACAGTTGTGTATTTGTGGTGTCACAGTTGTGTATGTGTGGTGTCACAGTTGTGTAGTTGTGGTGTCACAGGTGTGTATTTGTGGTGTCACAGTTGTGTATCTGTGGTGTCACAGTTGTGTATTTGTGGTGTCACAGTTGTGTATTGTGGTGTCACATGTGTGTCACAGTTGTGTACTTGTTGTTGTGTGCCTCTCTCGCGTGTTCGCGTCCTTTGAACAACAACAACAATGCACGCGCACTGCTTAGACCTGGCGGGCAAGGCGATGGTGAAACGGAGCGATCGGCGGACCCACGGCAGTCCCGATCCACGTCGCGGGCCGTCTCATCGGAACCGCTTTTGCCGACTGACGCGCGTTTATGCGATTTGCCCGACTTGCATTTACACTATCATTACCGCGTCGAGTTTCAAGGGTTTTTTGTATTCTTCTTCTTCTATTTAACGAGGCGAGAACTCGAGAGACAAAGAGGATTAGTCTCGTCTTCGAGAGTGACTCTGGGTATTAGTCTCTGCGTGTGTCTGTGTGCGCGTGTGTTTGACGCGCGCGCAGGAAGCAATTGTCAGCGTTAATATAGCAACTCATATTCTTTATATATATATTTTTTACAAATATTTTGTACGGTAAAGTCCGCGATAAATATGCAATTGGATATTATTCGGCTGATATTTTTGAATAGTAGCATATCGGCAATGTGCGTTTTCATTCGATTTGTAGCAGAGGTTAGCGGCGTTCGTAGCCCCGATCACGGGGTAAAGTGGCTGCGATATTCGCTACGATTTGGTGGGGTAGAGTCAATCACTCGCTGCACGCGAACGGCCAAAGCGCTGAAATCGCCTTGGGTTAAATCGCCGACTTAAACACGTCATGAAGCTGCACGCGTGGCCGTCTAAAATAACCGACAGCCGGTGTGAAAATAAAAACAAAAACGCGAAAACGTATCCGCGCATTCGAAACGAATAAACAGGCTCGCAAAATAACATGTTTTCGCTGTTAATAAAGTCATATGAATTTAAGTGGATGTTATCGACAAACTGATCGGGCAATCGGCTAAACTCGCGTGTCAATGATTACTCGCGTTGAAACTTAACCAAAACAACGTTGACACTCTTCGTCACATCGATCGTCGGACCCACATCTCTCTCTCTCTCTCATTCTCTCGACACGTGCGCGATCATCACACGCGTAAGTGTGGCATACACAGGTGACATGGACACGCTGCTCTACACCACAACCACCCGATTAAACGCAATTGTTGTGCGCACTGCCGCTGCTGCTGCGTTGACAGTGGTTGCCCAAGCACACTTAACAACAACAACTACAAACACTCAACACATTGGTCAATAATAACACTGCCCCCAAAATGAATTATACACGCGTATAACAAGTGACGTCTATGGCAGTGACTCCAATTATTTGCAGCTCCCTGGTATGAAGGAGAGCCGTTGCCCAAAACGTCGCTTATTATCGATTTGATTCCTCTTAGAGCCAAGCGGTGTTATTGACCAATGCGTTAAGCTTGTGTTCATCGCGTCCCTTGCACACGGACGCCAACATTAGCACAATCAGTCGTACTGGCAGCTTTAACACAAACAGTCGTACTGGCAACTTTAACACAAACAGACGCACTGGCAACTTTAACACAAACAGACGCACTGGCAACTTTAACACAAACAGTGGCACTGGCATCTTTAACACAAACAGTCGCACTGGCAGCTTTAGCACAAGCAGTCGCTCTAGCAGATTTAACACAAGCAGTCGTACTGGCAGATTTAACACAAGCAGACGCACTGGCAACTTTAACACAAACAGTGGCACTGGCAACTTTAACACAAACAGTGGCACTGGCAACTTTAACACAAACAGTGGCACTTACAGCTTTAACACAAACAGTGGCACTGGCAACTTTAACACAGTCACACTGGCAGCTTTAACACAAACAGTGCCACTGACAGCTTTAACACAAACAGTCGCACTGGCAACTTTAACACAAACAGTGGCACTGGCAGCTTTAACACAAACAGTGGCACTGGCAACTTTAACACAAACAGTGGCACTGACAACTTTAACACAAACAGACGCACTGGCAGATTTAACACAAACAGTGGCACTGGCAACTTTATCACAATCAGTGGCACTGGTAACTTTAACACGAACAGACGCACTGGCAACTTTAACACAAACAGACGGACTGGCAACTTTAACACAATCAGTGGCACTGGCAACTTTAACACGAACATACGCACTTGCAACTTTAACACAAACAGACGCACTGGCAACTTTAGCACAAACAGTCACACTGGCAGCTTTAACACAAACAGTCGTACTGGCAACTTTAACACAAACAGTCGTACTGGCAACTTTAACACAAACAGTCGCACTGACAGCTTTAACACAAACAGTGGCACTGGCAACTTTAACACAAACAGTGGCACTGGCAACTTTAACACAAACAGTGGCACTGACAGCTTTAACACAAGCAGACACACTGACAGCTTTAACACAAACAGTCGTACTGGCAGCTTTAACACAAACAGTCGTACTGGCAGCTTTAACACAAACAGTGGCACTGGCAACTTTAACACAAAGTCGCACTGACAGCTTTAAAACAAACAGTCACACTGACAGCTTTAACACAAACAGTGGCACTGACAACTTTAACACAAACAGTCACACTGACAGCTTTAACACAAACAGTCGCACTGACAGCTTTAACACAAACAGTCGTACTGGCAACTTTAACACAAACAGTCGTACTGGCAACTTTAACACAAACAGTCGCACTGACAGCTTTAAAACAAACAGTCGTACTGGCAGCTTTAACACAAACAGTCGTACTGGCAACTTTAACACAAACAGTCGCACTGACAGCTTTAACACAAACAGTCGCACTGACAGCTTTAACACAAACAGTCGTACTGGCAGCTTTAACACAAACAGTCGTACTGGCAACTTTAACACAAACAGTCGCACTGACAGCTTTAACACAAACAGTCGCACTGACAGCTTTAACACAAACAGTCGTACTGGCAGCTTTAACACAAACAGTCGTACTGGCAACTTTAACACAAACAGTCGCACTGACAGCTTTAACAAAAACAGTCGCACTGACAGCTTTAACACAAACAGTCGTACTGGCAGCTTTAACACAAACAGTCGTACTGGCAACTTTAACACAAACAGTCGCACTGACAGCTTTAACACAAACAGTCGCACTGACAGCTTTAACACAAACAGTCGCACTGACATCTTTAACACAAACAGTCGTACTGGCAGCTTTAACACAAACAGTCGTACTGGCAACTTTAACACAAACAGTCGTACTGACAGCTTTTACACAAACAGTCGCACTGACAGCTTTAACACAAACAGTCGTACTGGCAGCTTTAACACAACCAGTCGTACTGGCAACTTTAACACAAACAGTCGCACTGACAGCTTTAACACAAACAGTCGCACTGGAAGCTTTAACACAAACAGTCGTACTGGCAACTTTAACACAAACAGTCGCACTGACAGCTTTAACACAAACAGTCGTACTGGCAACTTTAACACAAACAGTCACACTGGCAGCTTTAACACAAACAGTCGTACTGGCAGCTTTAACACAAACAGTCGTACTGGCAACTTTAACACAAACAGTCGCACTGACAGCTTTAACACAAACAGTCGCACTGGCAACTTTAACACAAACAGTCACACTGGCAGCTTTAACACAAACAGTCGTACTGGCAGCTTTAACACAAACAGTCGCACTGACAGCTTTAACACAAACAGTGGTACTGACAGCTTTAACACAAACAGTCGCACTGACAGCTTTAACACAAACAGTCGTACTGGCAGCTTTAACACAAACAGTCGTACTGGCAACTTTAACACAAACAGTCGCACTGACAGCTTTAAGACAAACAGTCGCACTGACAGCTTTAACACAAACAGTGGCACTGGCAACTTTAACACAATCAGCCATACTGGCAGCTTTAACACAAGCAGACGCACTGGCAACTTTTACACAAACAGTCGTACTGGCAACTTTAACACAAACACGCACTGGCAACTTTAACACAAACAGTGGCACTGCCAGCTTTAACACAAACAGACGCACTGGCAACTTTAACACAAACACGCACTGGCAACTTTAACACAAACAGACGCACTGGCAACTTTAACACAAACAGTGGCACTGGCAACTTTAACACAAACAGACGCACTGGCAACTTTAACACAAACAGACACACTGACAACTTTAACACAAACAGTCTTACTGGCAACTTTAACACAAACAGACGCACTGGCAGCTTTAACACAAACAGACGCACTGGCAACTTTAACACAAACAGTCGTACTGGCAACTTTAACACAAACCGTCACACTGGCAACTTTAACACAAACAGATGCACTGGCAACTTTAACACAAACAGACGCACTGGCAACTTTAACACAAACAGTCACACTGGCAACTTTAACACAAACAGTCGTACTGGCAACTTTAACACAAACAGACGCACTGGCAACTTTAACACAAACAGTCGCACTGGCAACTTTAACACAAACAGACGCACTGGCAACTTTAACACAAACAGACGCACTGGCAACTTTAACACAAACAGTCGTACTGGCAGCTTTAACACAAACAGACGCACTATAAACTTTAACACAAACAGTCGCACTGACAACTTTAACACAAACAGACGCACTATAAACTTTAACACAAACAGTCGCACTGGCAACTTTAACACAAACAGACGCACTATAAACTTTAACACAAACAGTCGCACTGACAACTTTAACACAAACAGACGCACTATAAACTTTACCACAAACAGTCGCACTGGCAACTTTAACACAAACATTCACGCCGGTATATTGGGCACAAGCCGTCGCGCCGGCAGTGGCGACACCAACAACCCAGCAGCGGTGCTCTCGTGATGAATTCGGCTCGCGTGGTGCGCAGTGGGGTAGCAGCCGTGGTGGTGGTGGTGGTGGGCAGTGGGAGGAGGAGGAGGAGGCGAGAGACTCACGCGAGTACTGAAGTCCCTCGGCGGTGGCTAGCCAGCGGGTGTAGGGGTTCTCTCCCGCATCGAAGTACGGCCTGGCCAGCGCAAGTGCCGGGCCCGGTGCCGGTGGGCAGCGCGGCTCTCCGCGAGGATCGACGATGCACGACTCCGCCTCGCCCTCGGTGGCGCTGTCCTCGGTTGCGCTGTCTTCCTCCTTCGAGTCGGGTAAATCCAAGATGTCCCGTACGGAAAAACTCGTCTTGGTAATTGTCGCCGACATGGTTTGGCGTGTGTATGAACGTGTTGCTTTTGGTTGTTGTTGTTGTTGTTTTGTTCAAGATTTCGTCACCGGCTGGAGACTAAATTGACAACAACGACCACAACAAACACGGATCCAGGAGGCAAAGCTGTCCCAGAGTCGCCCCGGCACAGGAACGGAGAGCTTGGGCGAATGTTTGATAAGCGGCTTGTTTGGGTGCGGTAATGTTTTTGTTGTTGCTATTGTTGTCGTTATATTGTTGCTACAATTATTACTGTCATCACAATAATTAGACAGCGGCGATGATGATGTTAGTTGTAAGAATGACTGTCGTCACGTTTTTGCAGATGTTGATATTGGCGTTGTCGCAATGATGCATTGATTTGCAGTTGCTGTTGCCGTTCTTTATAACGAGTATAAATAAGTGCTATTCTAAATACACGGGGTTTTAAGCAAGTGCCCCTTGACGCCTGTTCGTGGGCAAAGAGCCGCCTATAAAACTCGAATTAGCCCCGGCGCAGACGCGTTTACTAACGCGATGTCGAACGCGAGCAATGTGCTCGTGACATGCAGCAGCGGCAGCAGTGGCAGTGGCATCATTTCGGCTGCGTCTCTCCGCGCGTCCGACTACTCGCCCAACCCGATTCTTTGGCAGCAACAGCAGCGGACAACAGCAGCGGAGAGCAGCGGCCACAACAGCAGTCGCTTGTAGCTGCAGGTTTGCGGCGGGCGTTGGCGGCGGCGGCGGCGGCGGTGGAGAGGGGGGGAGAGGGGGGCGCGGGCGGTCGACGTCCGCCCGGATCGACCACGCCGCGTGTCGTGCGTCGGCTGTGACTGCGAACGGGCCCTGCGCGGATCCCTAGGTAAGAAGAGCAAAGGGGAGGTCGTACAGATGTGGGCGGGTTCTCGCTCGAGTCAAGTGGTGGTGGGGTGGGGGGGGGAGTTGACTCCGGGAAATGGCGTGCGATTGTCGCCGCACCGATGGAGTGCTTCGTGCGCAACCACAACCACATCGCGCTGCTCCGTGACAATGGCGAGAAGCGTGGTCTGCCGGGGGAATCATTTGCATACAAAGATGTTTAACCCCCCCTCTCCTCTCTCTCTCTCTATCATCCAATACCACCCCCCTACCCAGCCACCACCACCTCCTCCTACGACTTCGACTACTCCCACCATCACCACTTCCACCACCTCCACCGCACCACCCAGCGTTCCCCCCACCGCCAACCTCCCACAACAACAACAACCCACTCAAATGCACCAACCCCTCCAATCCTCCACCGCCTGTAGCCGCCTCCTTCTAAAGACTAAAGCGTTGTCACAAAAGCCCCGCCCCCACTTAGATTTATGAGTTTAGTGTCAACAATTAGACCGCGGCCGTGCCTACGATGGTGCTGCAGCATTGAAGCTGAGATTCGCAACGGTTTGTGGAGGCACGCGCGAGCGTAACGGGTGGTTGTTGTTTTTTGTTGAAATCTCACTTCACGTTGCACCGTGGCATTGCGTATTGTCGCCTCTTTTTGTTGTTGTTGTTAAACATCTGGACGATCGATATAGTTGCAAGTATTTATCCGGAAACTTATCGCAGCGACAAACACAAACGGACACGAAGGGGTCACCAAGCTCTGCGGCTGCGAGTGACGTTCATCAAAGTGGAACGGCGCGATCGCTCCACGCGAGAACGTCGCCTGAGTGTGACATTGACATAACTCACGTGGGGGCTGACCTGGACATGTCACGGCAGATAGGCGGGCTGCCACGCCGCTCTTGTGCGTTTAGGCGTGAGCGTTCGAGGCGATTTTCGTTGCACCGCCAGCGCTGTATGAATGCACTGAGTGTTGAATCGCCACGTTGTATCTCGCAATTGCATAGTATACATACACGCAATATCTCTACGCAACGTTTCACTTTTTACTGGAACGATATGCATTATCTTTATATATATGTGTGTGTGTAGTTCTGCGTGTAATATTTTTGTTAGCGAGTACGTACATGTAAAATTACGTCTATTATGGGTTTTTTTAAAAAAAACATCTTTATATATATTTTGCGATTTAACATTCGCCTTTTGTAAACAAATTACAAATATTTACGCATTCATTTATTGCATCGGAAACAAGCCGCTGGTAATTATGTTGAATAATCTGCGAGTTTCACAGTGGCAGATGCTGATATCACATATTTCAACGTGTTTTTTTTTATTGTTCGCCTCTTGTACATATACAAATACAAAGATCCCTATATAGCCTTAATAGACTGTTGGGTCAAGTGCTGTTAGCGAGTCGCACCTATGAAGCCGGCCACGGCACACCAGAGGGTGGGTGGCCAGGACCACGCCCGACCGCCTTTGTCTCCCCAGTGGCGATGTTTACACACCGCACCAGATACTCATTTGAGGCTGAGTCGACCTAGGGGAGGCCCAGGACCGGTTCAGATAATTGTCACTGATGTTGGTGGCCGTGAGCGGGAATTGAATTCGGGCCGCTGGGTTCGGAGCGAGGCACGCTAACACTATACTACCGCTTCCTCCTGTATACATGGTGTGTACACATATATACACGGTACACACGCATGGTGTGTACACATATATACACGGTACACACGCATGATGTGTACACATATATACACAGTACACACGCATGGTGTGTACACATATATACACGGTACACACGCATGGTGTGTACACATATATACACGGTACACACGCATGGTGTGTACACATATATACACGGTGCACACGCATGGATATAATATCGGCTATATACGAACACAGAGGTTTGTCCAAATGCCGTGAAAGGAACGTGTACGCATCATTATTACATTGCAGGATCGCAGATGAGTTTTCATCCATCAGTTGATTGATCATGACTGCTGCTGCTGCTGATGATAATAGTGATGATGGGTAGACTGTTTTTGGTACGTAGTATATATGGAGCTGCGGGTACGTGCATATTAAGCGTGATCTCTTAGCCACAGCTGCTTGTGCAGCCTAGTGTTGCATATGAAGACCAAACCTATTTGTCTCGTGATTGTTGTCAATGACCATTTATAAACTGCCATGTACAATCGGACATATGTCAGTGCACCCAGCGTAGTAGAACCATGGCCGGATGATGATGTTGAATGTACATATATACACACTTTCTCTGGAAAGCCGGAAAAGTATTTATTGACGAGCGAAATATAGCAGGCACATTAGCTCTAATAATAATACAAAGTATCTCGAGTTTCAAAACACATTTCCAACACTAAGATATTTGGGCAATTCCATTGACGGTTGTTTGGCACAATTCTATATACGGCGATACTATTTGGGGTTCTTTTTTAAATCACCATCGTTATCATCAGCAGCAATGATCAATCCACTGCTGGATGAACGCCTTGACCATGTCACGATCCTGCGATGCAATACCCTACATAGACACAAGCCGATTCCATCGCTCCATCTCCGATGTGAGCGTCCTCTTGGATGCGTTCCAATTCCTTGGCTGGTCACTCCGTTTCTTACAGTCGGCGATCGCCCACCAAATATCCCGTCTAGCCCGAGACCACTCGCTTTCGGAACCGTTTGAACGTTGTTATTTAACTCCTACGCGTACATTCTCGAATCGCTCCATCTCCTCCGTTTGGACGTGCTCTCTCTCTCTCTCCCGATGCGTTACATACCATGTTTGTGAATACTCGAGTTGAGTAGCCCTCACTCGGCGGCGTTTTGACGGTGGCTGTGTTCATATCGCAGCGACACGCCGGGCATGCAGCTCCACCGGTCACACGCACGTTCGTACGTGTGAGCTTCGTTGGTGCGATCGTACGACGATCGAGTTTCTGTCACGGCGGAGTCACGGTCAACACACTGTTACCCGCAACCCAAAGGTCCGCCGGTTTCAATTTGGGAAATCCGCGTGTGAAAAAAGAGCTTCATAGCTCATCGGATTGCTCCAGTCTTGCTGATTCAATCACCCGGTGCGCCGTCCGCCTCGGTCCACCCAGCAGTATTGAAGGATACAATCCCAGTGAATCGATCAGTCGAGTGTGGTGGTGGGGTAACGTGTGGGTAATGCCACCTCTCACAAAGACGTCTGGCCAGGGTGGCAGAGTAGGCCAACGCACCCCTCGAGAGGAGGCCCTTCCCGACAGCAGTGGCGTTCGCAAGAAATTGCGGGGCTGCGCCTTTACCCTCGCGACAGCCGGTGTGACGCAAGGATGCTCAGGATCACGGAATAACGACGGGCACAGCGCGAGAGATTTGCCCGCGTGCGAAGTGTCCTGCGCCGGGTTAAGAGGCGGCTTGTGTAAGGCCACGCTCACATCCCCCAGGTGCGCGTGTGTCTGTGTGTAGTGTGTGTAGTGTGTGTGTGTACTGTGTGTGTGTAGTGTGTATGTGTGTACCGTGTGTGTGTGTGTACCGTGTGTGTACCGTGTGTCTGTGTGTAGTGTGTGTGTGTGTGTACCGTGTGTGTGTAGTGTGTGTACCGTATGTCTGTGTGTACCGTGTGTGTGTGTACCGTGTGTGTGTGTAGTGTGTGTAGTGTATGTGTGTGTACCGTGTGTGTGTGTACTGTGTACCGTGTGTCTGTGTGTACCGTGTGTACCGTGTGTGTGTGTACTGTGTGTAGTGTGTGTAGTGTGTGTGTACCGTGTGTCTGTGTGTACCGTGTGTGTGTGTAGTGTGTATGTGTGTACCGTGTGTCTGTGTGTACCGTGTGTCTGTGTGTACCGTGTGTGTGTGTACTGTGTATGTGTGTACCGTGTGTCTGTGTGTACGGTGTGTGTGTGTGTGTACTGTGTATGTGTGTACCGTGTGTCTGTGTGTGCCGTGTGTGTGTGTACTGTGTATGTGTGTACCGTGTGTCTGTGTGTACGGTGTGTGTGTGTACCGTGTGTCTGTGTGTACCGTGTGTCTGTGTGTGTACCGTGTGTGGTGTGTGTCTGTGTGTACCGTGTGTCTGTGTGTACCGTGTGTGTGTAGTGTGTGTCTGTGTGTAAGTTTGAATGTCCGCGCGTGTGTGTCTGTGTGTACCGTGTGTGTGTGTAGTGTGTGTCTGTGTGTACCGTGTGTCTGTGTGTACCGTGTGTCTGTGTGTGTACCGTGTGTGTGTGTAGTGTGTGTCTGTGCGTACCGTGTGTGTGTGCGCGTGTCTGTGTGTAACCGTGTGTCTGTATGTACCGTGTGTGTGTGTAGTGTGTGTCTGTGTGTACCGTGTGTGTGTGCGCATGTGTCTGTGTGTACCGTGTGTCTGTGTGTGTACCGTGTGTCTGTGTCTGTACCGTGTCTGTGTGTACCGTGTGTCTGTGCGTACCGTGTGTCTGTGTGTGTACCGTGTGTCTGTGTGTACCGTGTGTCTGTGTGCGCGTGTGTCTGTGTGTACCGTGTGTCTGTAGTGTGTCTGTGTGTACTGTGTGTGTGTAGTGTGTGTCTGTGTGTACCGTGTGTCTGTGTGTACCGTGTGTGTGTAGTGTGTCTGTGTGTACCGTGTGTGTGTGCGCGTGTGTACCGTGTGCCGTGCCTGCCTTCACATGCGCTCGCAAACAGCACTTGCCCCAACAGTCTGTTAAGGCTATACGGGGGATCTTTTTTTTATGTGGACGTGTGTGCGTGTGTGTTAGGGGAGCGGTCGTGTAGTGGTGGTTTTAGCGCTACGCTACACGAGTTCGATTCCCGCTCACGACCAAAATCGGTGACGAATATCCGAACCGGTCCATGAGAATCCCCTAGGACGACTCAGCCTTAAATACATCCCTTGTGCGGTGTGTATAAAACATCAGCATTGGGGAGACAAAGGCGACCGGGCGTAGTGCTGATCACTCACCCCCCTTCGTGTTCCGTTACGACCTTCATAGGTGCTGCTCGCTAACAGCACTTGCCCCAACAGTCCGTTAAGTCTATACGGGGGATCTTTGTTCGGTGCAGAATGTGTCTCGTCGCTCTTAGCTCGAAGGGTTCTGAAAGGGATGTAATATGCAAATAATGCTTTACGCGCTCTGTGTGTGTGTGTTTATAAGTAATCAGCAATAGCACTTGCCCCAACAGTAGGTGGTGCCTATACGGGTGACCTTTGTGATTGCACGTCGGGATGCGCGCTACGAGTGCGCTGAGAAGCCGCCGCACGGAGTTTGATTCCCGCTC